CCCATTTATCGAACCAGAGCAGCGAGAGATAACACAGAAACGAAATGGTGAGAAAACCATAACAAGGGGCGTCAATTCACAGATTCCAATAATCGATAAAGTGGATCTAGAATATCTGTGGTGGACGTACAACAGATTATACAGGCAGAGGGTGAGGAGAGCAAAAGGAGAAAGATAAGAGTCGGAAGAAACCATAAAAAATTAAGAAGCTCTACCCTCAAATACTAGACTACAGAGATGGCTCTTGCTCCACCTAATAATAGAGCAACATACCCAATTAAAAGTCGGTCTAGGGGGGGATAAACTGAGAATATTTCTTCGTTATAGAAAGCCCTTTATGTAAGGAAGACATTGCTCTTTCAAAAACCAACCAGAGCAGGTAAATAATTATACACATTACAGGAAAATAAACAAATATTTCCACGTACGTTGATGGGATCGAAAACACAAGAAAGCATATTCGTGCTGGGACACACTATCAAATGGATAACATGCATCTTCATCACGAACTTTATAGGTACCAAATCGTGCAAGTTCTGTAAGTACACAATTCATTCACAAGGCATGGAGGAGAAAGCAACCAATGGAAATATCTCCTCGTTGATAACACCTACCAATGGAATAACATTCGACTCCATACACGTACGGAGAGAGAAAACACTCGTCGACGTGCTCGACGATAAACAACTAGTTTCACTGGCAGTGTGGGGGAGGACACAAATGAAACGATCTACGTCGTGGAAACACCTATGAATGGACTAACAATTCACCTTCATACACCTACGGGAATGGTAGCTACTCGACCACGTTCAGTGGAGATCACAACTACTTTCGCTAGGCAGTGATGGGGAGGAAACAACTGAGAACGATCTACGTCGTGGAAACTCTTACCAATGGACTAACATCCACCTCATACACCTACTGGAGTGGTAGCCACTCGTGCCACCTTCAGGAAGATCACAACTACTTTCACAGGCAGTGATGGAGAGGAAACAACTGAAACGATCTACGTCGTGGAAACACCATCGACATGATCTTCATCCAGTGAATCCAAATCTTCGGAAGAAATATCGAAGTCCTCTATTTACAGTAGTATTATTTCCACTAACTCAAGATCTGTGGTCAGTACCACTAATTCCCAAACCAAAAAAGAATCGTTTCAAGCAAATACCAACTCCAACACTGAATCAATGACTGGTTCTGTTAACACCTACACTAACACCAACACCAACACCAACACTGAATCTATGACTGGTTCTGTTACACCAACACCAACTCCAACACTGAATCAATGACTGTGTTCTGTTAACACCAACACCAACTCCAACACTGAATCAATGACTGGTTCTGTTAACACCAACACCAACTCCAACACTGAATCAATGACTGGTTCTGTTAACACCAACACCAACACCAACACTGAATCAATGACTGGTTCTGTTAACACCAATACCAACACCAACACTGAATCTATGACTGGTTCTGTTAACACCAACACCAACTCCAACACTGAATCAATGACTGGTTCTGTTAACACCAACACCAACACCAACACTGAATCAATGACTGGTTCTGTTAACACCAACACCAACACCAACACTGAATCAATGACTGGTTCTGTTAACACCAACACCAACACCAACACTGAATCAATGACTGGTTCTGTTAACACCAACACCAACACCAACACTGAATCAATGACTGGTTCTGTTAACACCATCACCAATTCGAACACTGAATTAATGACTGGTTCTGTAGTTGGTAGTGTGAGTTCGACTGGTTTAAGTGAGGTTTCTGATTTTTCTACGCTTTTAAGTTCTACGAATATAGTTTCGTATATGGATTCTAGTAGTTCAGTTTGGTTAAGCTCTAATGTTTTATATTCGAATTCTTCTGTCGATGTATCATTTGGTAGTTCCTATGTTTCTTATGAACATTCCAGTGGATTATCTCTTCCTGAATCTGCTAACACTAACACAAACACAAACACCAATTCGAACACTGGTGTCAACACCGGTTCTCATACAGTAACTGAATCAGCTAACACTAACACAAACACAAACACCAATTCGAACACTGTTGTCAACACCGGTTCTCATACAGTAACTGAATCAGCTAACACTAACACAAACACAAACACTAATTCGAACACTGGTGTCAACACCGGTTCTCATACAGTAACTGAATCTGCTAACACTAACACAAACACAAACACCAATTCGAACACTGTTGTCAACACCGGTTCTCATACAGTAACTGAATCAGCTAACACTAACACAAACACAAACACTAATTCGAACACTGGTGTCAACACCGGTTCTCATACAGTAACTGAATCTGCTAACACTAACACAAACACAAACACTAATTCGAACACTGGTGTCAACACCGATTCTCATACAGTAATTGAATCTGCTAACACTAACACAAGCACAAACACTAACACAAACACAAACACCAATTCGAACACTGGTGTCAACACCGGTTCTCATACAGTAACTGAATCAGCTAACACTAACACAAACACAAACACTAATTCGAACACTGGTGTCAACACCGGTTCTCATACAGTAACTGAATCTGCTAACACTAACACAAACACAAACACTAATTCGAACACTGTTGTCAACACCGGTTCTCATACAGTAACTGAATCAGCTAACACTAACACAAACACAAACACTAATTCGAACACTGGTGTCAACACCGGTTCTCATACAGTAACTGAATCTGCTAACACTAACACAAACACAAACACTAATTCGAACACTGGTGTCAACACCGATTCTCATACAGTAATTGAATCTGCTAACACTAACACAAGCACAAACACAAACACAAACACAAACACCAATTCGAACACTGGTGTCAACACAGATTCTCATACAGTAATTGAATCTGCTAACACTAACACAAACACAAACACCAATTCGAACACTGTTGTCAACACCGGTTCTCATACAGTAACTGAATCAGCTAACACTAACACAAACACAAACACTAATTCGAACACTGGTGTCAACACCGGTTCTCATACAGTAACTGAATCAGCTAACACTAACACAAACACAAACACTAATTCGAACACTGGTGTCAACACCGGTTCTCATACAGTAACTGAATCTGCTAACACTAACACAAACACAAACACTAATTCGAACACTGGTGTCAACACCGATTCTCATACAGTAATTGAATCTGCTAACACTAACACAAACACAAACACCAATTCGAACACTGGTGTCAACACCGGTTCTCATACAGTAACTGAATCTGTTACTTCGTCGGTTAATGTGGATTCCAGTAGTGTGACTAGTAAAATTGAGATTTCTAGTAATGAACAATCTGTATCTTCCACTATATCTATTAGCGAAACGGAATCTACAGGAATCAATAGTTCTACACATGTCAGTGTCAGTTCTTTTGAAGATGCGGGAAATTCTTTAAATATCTGGAATAGTTGGTACAATTTGGGTGCCTTGTGTATCTTAGGAATACTTGTTTGAATAAATTGAAGTTGATCTGATTATGTTTACATATAAGGATTCCTTTTTGAGTTCGTTGTTTTATTAAATTATTTATTACTTCAAGTTTATATATAGGAGTTTAATAATTATATCTTTATTTTAATATCGTTTATATGGATAATCAATATTTTTTTTTAGGTAATTATTATTTATATTATCTGTACAAGTTAAAGAGGACTTCTACTGTGGACTAGGAAATTAAGTGTTAAGATTTTTGGAAGATATTATTTATAAGTAGGAGTTATCATTTACTCAAAGATCGAAAACTAGCTGAGAATTCGAATAAAAAGAAAGACATCAGAAATTGGAATTATCGTGGTTGATTAAATCAAAATAGAAACATAAACCATAATTTTACTGTTATATTGAAAATAAAAACAATTATTTTAATTATTAGGTCTGCAATTTAAGAATAATATTTTTGATCGATATCAAATTATAAGAAATATTTGAAAATACATAAATAGGAGTACATAAGTTGGTAACTTTTATAGATATTCAAAAGATCAGAATTAAATAATATATAAATTTCGTAATTGATAGCTCCTCATGGGATCAAGTAAATATAAAACCCTTTAGTATTTAGCTTTTTAGAATCTAATTAGTTTATTTTCGACTCGTGCTTTATGGAATCAGGCATTAATTACTAGAATAGGATCAGCCGCATCCTTTGTGGATTGTAAAAATATAGTACTCCGATTCGTACTTTTTTTATGTATTATTATAACTGTAATTGCAAATGACTGGATAATTAAATGGTAACGATAAAAACATACAATATAATAACAACAGTTTTATTAGTTTAAACCTCTTGTTTGGGTCATCTATTTAATAACATTTACTTATTTTTCAGCTAAAAATTAAATTAAAGACAAGCTTACCTGACAAAAGTATTTTTTGGAATAATAAACATTATTGAATTATGAGATACCATTGTGTGCATATCTATATAATAAGATGTGAAATAATGAGCACTCAGCCTCACTATGAGAAGAAAGGTTTTTAGTGAACATTTTTGTCTGAAACTATTGTCTATAATACAACGTTCATAATCTTGATTAAAAATATTATATTTTTTGTAATCTCAATATGTTGAGCAATCTACCCGTTAAATGATCATCTCTCCCTTAAAAAGACCCCGATGTAATGACTAGTAAAATAAAAATCTTCTAAAATATAATTCTTTTTGCCAGTCTTGTATCTTCAATGTTTGAATCAAAAGTGTCACTAGACGTAGGAAAATTGGTCTATCGAGGGGTAAAACAACCTGTTCTTCAATTTCAATTCGAATATGAGTTGAAGAGGATCTGAATTTTGTTGTTTAATACATTACTGACTAAGGTGCGCTTCACTACAATCAGAAATGCTAGTTTTGTAAACTTATGTTTAGTATTGGGCAGATACTGGTATTTCTCTAATATGTAGTAAATTTTTAATGGCAAGTCACTTGGACAAGGTAATGTAAAGAAAGGGTTGTAAGGTGGTGAGAATGTAAATTATTTTCCTTTCTCTCCTTTTCACTACTAAATGCTATATATATATATATATATATATTAACTTAAAGCACATTCTTCTACTAGACAACTTTGATTTTTATGTTCTTTCTGCTTATTGTCGAAGACTGCATTTCACTAATTTTTCTCTAACTCATATTGATAAAAGGTCGTACTTATAATAATATATATACTAATTTGAGAATATGTAAAACTTCTTCACTTACTTAAGTATCCATCTAGTCCATCATACAGAAGCACGGTGTATAAATATAATCTTAAAAATTACCCTCATATAAAAAAATACCATTAGGTTGAAAATATGTTTTTAATATCCAGAATAAATGCTTTGGAGATTAAAGTCTGCTGCTATCATGCTCCATCACCCTAATAATCAAATTTGGTGTTGATAATTAAGAGCATCAACAATAAACAATGCATCAAGGCAGACAATATATTAATTTTAATGGATGACTGTGAGGAAGTATGATGGAGTGTTTAGAAAATTACAAACAAATTGGATGTTTTTTATAATTCGGCTTTACTTTTTTTGTCACTTTTTCGGTTTGATTCTTATTAAATAGGAATCCAAAGAGGGAAATTAGAAAAAAATGTTCTAGCAGAATACTTATCCATTTCTAAACTTCAAAGTCTAAATAAATTGAAAACTTCTTTCTGCCAGGAAATATCGAGAGATAAAAGTTTTGGGGCATCTTTCTTTCTTTTCTATCTTTTACATCATAAATCCCTTTTTCTACCTCCATGGTTTTGACTATATTTCTTTGGCAGAACTTTTGATCTTTTTTTATTCGAAAAAGCGGTAGAGACTTTTGAGACATTGACTAAAAGAGAAATTATTTTGTAATGCAATGTTACCAAAAAAGGAAAATTCAGAGTAAAAATTGAAAAAGAATTAGTCGCTAGAAATAGAATTTATTTAAAGAGAAATCAAGAATGTATTCCGTAACAAAAATATTATACATATTTATTCTTTTAAGTTGCTGAACACGTAATGCACTTCCCTAATACGGAATTTATAATAAGGTTAAATACTAAATGAAGTTTTAATTTAGTCCACCTGTTTTATTTATTTATTAAATAGTACTAACCAGTTTTCCAGAACATCAAAGGATAACCGATGGCATGTATAGATAGCGATTAACCCACTTTATGAATCCTGATAACACATCTATTAAAAAAGATTAACCGAAAGGAAGTATTTGACTTGCCATTTAGTTGCACATTGGTACCTAAACACTCACACTATTTCCAGTTGTGCTGCTATATTATAAAATCTATTTGTTATATTCTCAAAAAGTTAAGTCCACATTTAATTCATGAACACGTTCTGAATCATATGTACCTGAATATAATCGTTAGCGATTAAACTAATATAAAATAAAAATGCTATTTAAACAACAAGAAACCTTAACAATGTATTTGTTTTGTTCCTTTTGGGGAGATTCTAATAAGAAATTTGATTTTGTTTCATTTATATTATCAGAAACAATTTTACTTAGCTGAAAAATAATAAGATTATTGAATTGACACTAGAAAAGTTGAAATGAAACATTTTACTAGGTTGCTAACCTTCCTCAACTTTGTTCTATTCGCATGCTCACTTTCAAATCATGAGAACAACCAAGCTCTCAGTTTGTCAGAATTGATTGACCATGAAGCCATTTTAGAGGGAAATACAGCACTGGTTGGTGATAATCCAAAATCGAAACTTCATTCAGAAAAAAAGCTCTTGTCAATACCCTTGAATATAAATCAAAATGAGAGCATATATACCTCTGTTCCTTCCACAAAAAATCAAACATATTTTATTTCGGATCATTTAGCAACTAATGTAAAGAATGTAGATAAGAAAGACATAACTATAAAATCAAATGATATCTCTATAATTACTATTAGAACTCAAAATTTAAATATACTCGCTGAAACCACTTCGACTGAACTGACTTGGGTCACTGGCCATAATGGGATAGAGTCCAAATTATTTATCTATTATATTGAGTACCCTGTAGATCACTTTTCATTTACTTTTATTAGGCCAATGACTGTAAACAATCTGGAAAAAAGACTTGTTGAAAATGAAGATATATCATCCTCGAGTATAGTAAAACCAATAGTTACAGAATCTACAAAAACAATAGTAAATACAATAACAAAGAGTGATAATGCCCTAGTAGTCGAAACAACATATATTGTCTATTCAAGATCACCTTATACTAGTACCAATAGCAAAAAAACATATTGGACTGGTTCCTACACTACAACAACAAAAACAGAAATAACCACATATATAGGAACAAATGGTGGTGTCACAACAGAAACAATTTATTTCATAGCTACGCCAACTACTGCCTTCGAAACCACGTCTTACACCTACTGGACTGGTTCTACAGCCAACACCTTGTCGACTGTTACCACCACCTTCACTGGTACCGATGGTATCGAGACCACGGAGACAATCTACATTGTCGAAACGCCAACTACTGCTTTCGAAACCACGTCTTACACCTACTGGACTGGTTCTACAGCCAACACCTTGTCGACTGTTACCACCACCTTCACTGGTACCGATGGTATCGAGACCACGGAGACAATCTACATTGTCGAAACGCCAACTACTGCTTTCGAAACCACGTCTTACACCTACTGGACTGGTTCTACAGCCAACACCTTGTCGACTGTTACCACCACCTTCACTGGTACCGATGGTATCGAGACCACCGAGACAATCTACATTGTCGAAACACCAACTACTGCTTTCGAAACCACGTCTTTCACCTACTGGACTGGTTCTACAGCCAACACCTTGTCGACTGTTACCACCACCTTCACTGGTACCGATGGTATCGAGACCACGGAGACAATCTACATTGTCGAAACACCAACTACTGCTTTCGAAACCACGTCTTACACCTACTGGACTGGTTCTACAGCCAACACCTTGTCGACTGTTACCACCACCTTCACTGGTACCGATGGTATCGAGACCACCGAGACAATCTACATTGTCGAAACACCAACTACTGCCTTCGAAACCACGTCTTACACCTACTGGACTGGTTCTACAGCCAACACCTTGTCGACTGTTACCACCACCTTCACTGGTACCGATGGTATCGAGACCACCGAGACAATCTACATTGTCGAAACACCAACTACTGCCTTCGAAACCACGTCTTACACCTACTGGACTGGTTCTACAGCCAACACCTTGTCGACTGTTACCACCACCTTCACTGGTACCGATGGTATCGAGACCACCGAGACAATCTACATTGTCGAAACACCAACTACTGCTTTCGAAACCACGTCTTACACCTACTGGACTGGTTCTACAGCCAACACCTTGTCGACTGTTACCACCACCTTCACTGGTACCGATGGTATCGAGACCACGGAGACAATCTACATTGTCGAAACACCAACTACTGCCTTCGAAACCACGTCTTACACCTACTGGACTGGTTCTACAGCCAACACCTTGTCGACTGTTACCACCACCTTCACTGGTACCGATGGTATCGAGACCACCGAGACAATCTACATTGTCGAAACGCCAACTACTGCTTTCGAAACCACGTCTTACACCTACTGGACTGGTTCTACAGCCAACACCTTGTCGACTGTTACCACCACCTTCACTGGTACCGATGGTATCGAGACCACGGAGACAATCTACATTGTCGAAACGCCAACTACTGCTTTCGAAACCACGTCTTACACCTACTGGACTGGTTCTACAGCCAACACCTTGTCGACTGTTACCACCACCTTCACTGGTACCGATGGTATCGAGACCACGGAGACAATCTACATTGTCGAAACACCAACTACTGCCTTCGAAACCACGTCTTTCACCTACTGGACTGGTTCTACAGCCAACACCTTGTCGACTGTTACCACCACCTTCACTGGTACCGATGGTATCGAGACCACGGAGACAATCTACATTGTCGAAACGCCAACTACTGCTTTCGAAACCACGTCTTACACCTACTGGACTGGTTCTACAGCCAACACCTTGTCGACTGTTACCACCACCTTCACTGGTACCGATGGTATCGAGACCACCGAGACAATCTACATTGTCGAAACACCAACTACTGCTTTCGAAACCACGTCTTTCACCTACTGGACTGGTTCTACAGCCAACACCTTGTCGACTGTTACCACCACCTTCACTGGTACCGATGGTATCGAGACCACCGAGACAATCTACATTGTCGAAACACCAACTACTGCTTTCGAAACCACGTCTTACACCTACTGGACTGGTTCTACAGCCAACACCTTGTCGACTGTTACCACCACCTTCACTGGTACCGATGGTATCGAGACCACGGAGACAATCTACATTGTCGAAACACCAACTACTGCCTTCGAAACCACGTCTTACACCTACTGGACTGGTTCTACAGCCAACACCTTGTCGACTGTTACCACCACCTTCACTGGTACCGATGGTATCGAGACCACCGAGACAATCTACATTGTCGAAACGCCAACTACTGCTTTCGAAACCACGTCTTACACCTACTGGACTGGTTCTACAGCCAACACCTTGTCGACTGTTACCACCACCTTCACTGGTACCGATGGTATCGAGACCACGGAGACAATCTACATTGTCGAAACGCCAACTACTGCTTTCGAAACCACGTCTTACACCTACTGGACTGGTTCTACAGCCAACACCTTGTCGACTGTTACCACCACCTTCACTGGTACCGATGGTATCGAGACCACGGAGACAATCTACATTGTCGAAACACCAACTACTGCCTTCGAAACCACGTCTTTCACCTACTGGACTGGTTCTACAGCCAACACCTTGTCGACTGTTACCACCACCTTCACTGGTACCGATGGTATCGAGACCACGGAGACAATCTACATTGTCGAAACGCCAACTACTGCTTTCGAAACCACGTCTTACACCTACTGGACTGGTTCTACAGCCAACACCTTGTCGACTGTTACCACCACCTTCACTGGTACCGATGGTATCGAGACCACCGAGACAATCTACATTGTCGAAACACCAACTACTGCTTTCGAAACCACGTCTTTCACCTACTGGACTGGTTCTACAGCCAACACCTTGTCGACTGTTACCACCACCTTCACTGGTACCGATGGTATCGAGACCACCGAGACAATCTACATTGTC